AGACTGAGTACCAGAGAAGTAGATACTCTCCTAAAACCTGCAGGTATTGATATCAGACCATGCTTTTGACACTGCTTTTCTTGTACTGCTTAAGACATGAGGCTATGAGTTTGCAGCTAAACTTACAGAAGGCTTAGACATCTAACTGTACTGAGTGCTTGCTCCCTTATATCCTTATGGAAAAAAATGATATTTAAATCCTTAGTATAGAACAGTAGAAAAAAATAAAAGAAAACCTAAAAAAGGTTCTAAGGAGTTCTCAGTTTCCATGTACTTTTTTGCAAATCAAATGGATTCAGTTTTCAACACTTTTAAGGAAGCAGAATGTTTATCATCTTCCTGCTTAAATAAAAGCACAGGTAATAGCTGGTAAGTGATAAGTTTGAAGTGCCTCTTACTTACCCAGTCTCCAAAGATTCTCCTTTAGAAATTAACTATAATAATCATGAGTTTCACGTACCAAAAAAAAAAAAAAAAAAAATCAATCAATACATTCATTTCAAAGCTGATGTGGCCCTAACAACAATGGGATCACTGTACTGTCAGTCATGATCTTGGTCAAACACCTTTTCTATTTAGAGCAAGTTCAGTACACCCTCTGAGTGATTATAGCTCTTCTTATGTATCGAGATTTTCTCTCTGAAAGCAAAGTCATTGCCAGCAGAAGAATAATTAAAATTGACACTGACCAAGTCAATCTGGCACCAAGGTCATAATTTTTTTGGGAAGATTATGAAAAACAGGAGATATTTTTCTATTTTTAGTAACTCGGGTTATTCACCAAATAGCCAATGGGAACATACTGCCCAAGAGACGTGAGCATGGAGGAGTTTATCCCAGTTTAAACACTTTAGGGCCCTGGATGATGTACAGTTTATACAGTTTATTGTCCCTCTGTTCAAACTAGGTCATAACAAGGATGCTGTCTGTTCTGCTCATGAAGATCTGATGGCTTCATTTCACCATTTATCACAAGAAACACGTAGACTAAAAAGCTTACAAATGCACTGAGAATATTTAACCACAACCTATGCTTAGGGTGGTCATGGATATTTGTGCAAGAAAGGGAACTAGCAAGTAGAGCTAACCATGATAAATATGCCCTATTTGCAAACCTTTATAACTACTCGGCTTCTTCATCTAGAACAAAGCCTGACACAGCAAAGATCTGTAGAATGGATTAGAATGTCCAAAGCAGCAGATGTGAATATTTATTATAAACTCTCCTCCAGCAAGTCTTTGCTGACAGAAGCATTGCATATGGATTGCACTTGCAGTGAGACTCTCCAGGCAATCGCTGGATGGCTTCTGCTGGAGCCAAACAAATGCCATTTTGCCTGCAGCCCTCACACCACAACAGCTGGGCAGGGGGTTAATGTCACTTCCAGCTTCTCAAAACCACTAATGAACCCAGTTGTTACAGAGAGGGACAGGCAGGAGAGAAGGTCTGGACAGCTGCAGTCCACTTCCAGAAAGTAAGGGCAGGACAGAATGACAACTGAGACAAAGCTTCAGCTCATTCACTCCTTAGGTTGAGCGGGGCAGGGGCAGGCCCCAACCCTGCATTTTTCTGAATGCTTTGCTAGGTAATCACATGCCTGAAGCAAAACCGTGGCACTCATCCTGTCAGTCCATCCCAGTATTCTGACAGTCCTGGGAAACGACAAAGCCAAGAGGAAAATAGAGAGGGTCAGTAAAAACCAGCCAGCTAGGAGGTGCAGTAATACCCTGCACTGCCTCCCTGCTAGCACTAACTGGGGAAAGGATGGAGGTGCACTTGGCAGCCCTGGTGAAGAATGATTTGTTTCACAGGAATTTCTCCCTGAGTTAGGATGCTTTACTATTGCTGACCATGGCTCAGCAGCAGCAGGATGCACAGGCAGATGCACACGAGGGGGAATGCACAAAATGACATCTCATTTCTGTCACCCTTTATGTCAACACTGATCTACGGGCTCATAACAATTTGCTCATTATAATGTAAATTTATCCCTCCTTCCTTCTGAAAGGAGATGTTTCATTTGGGGAAGAGGGAACAAATTGTGTTGTATTGCTCTTTCAGATTTTTTTTTCCAGTTGGGAAAGCAAACAAAAACTACTACATAATTGTGATGCAAAGCTGTATTTTAAAGAAGGATACTCACTTGTCACCAGCAAAGACACTTTGCTATAACACTGGAGGAAAGTAAAAGCCTGAAGAGAGGTTGTTCTTCATACCTTTACCCAACTGTCAGGTGGGGCTGGTCTATGCAAGCTCACTGAACTGAGCAGTTAGGCTGATTTGCACTGGAATGAATAGATCCTGCTTAGAAGATACAAAGTCTCCAGGACTGTGACCTCTAGATCTCACAGCCTGTAGATCTCCAGCTCACAAGGCTTCCAGAACCTGCTCTGGATCTGCTGGTGCGCTTGGAAACATGGGGAGATAAAGTGAAGCTTTGCTCTGGCTGGCCCCACGCCAATCCTGAGCTCAGCCTTCTTCCTCAACCTGGCAGACAATAAGTGATGACAAAGCACGTTGCCATCACAAAGAGACCCTAGCAGCCTTTGTACTAATCACAGCTGATTTGCTGTTGCCCATTGCTAAACACAAGTACTAATTTTTCTGATGTACCCCTATTATATCCTCAGAATAACATAAGCTCTGACCATCTGGACACTTGCTTCAAGAAGGATGCAGTGAGTTGGAAAAGGTAAAGAAAGGTAGCAAAGCCAATTAAAGGTACAAACAACTGTGCAAGGAATCCTTAGGAGGGGATGACAGCTTAGCCAAGAAAAACTCTGTGCGTTAAAATGTACTTGGCTGACTGTGCTTACTCCACATGTAAACCTCAGAATTCAGTCCTTCCTTGGGGATCCACAGAGAAATGTGGAGCCAAGGCAGACTCCAGATTACCCCCAGGGGATGGTGAAACACAGGGTTTCCATGAAAATGCTTGTCTGAATCCCACCTCACCTGGGAGCTGCGGGGTAGCCAGAGTCTGGAATCTCTGGACAGCCATCTTTCTGCTTGGACCAGACTGAATTTACTCTGGGGAATCACTGCATTTTCAGCTCCCTTTTCTGCCCAGCACTGGAATTAAGTACTGCTGTAGGTTTCCAGTCCCAGTGTCCTGCAGAGAAAAGCTCTGTTCTTGTCTCCAGACTGGCAATGCTTTTCGTTTTAGGCATTGATTAATTACAATGCAGCTCTGTTGTTTGGGCTGGAAATACATTTGTACTTAAAACAATAAAAATCATCCATGCCCTTCTAGAAGAACTATCCTGCTACAGAAACTGTATCTCTACATTGTTTTGAGACCAGAGCTGAACCCTAAAATCATTTAGTACCTCAGAGACAGTAATATTTTAGTAATTTTTTTTTTTACTTACATGTCCCACTCTGAAAAAGGGGGTAGTTAAAATTAATTATATTGTATGCAAATCTGTTCTTGTACATTTTCCAAATGTACGTAAAGTTAAAGGTTTGATAAGGACCGTAGCCATAAAGTGCCAAAAGCAGGAATCTGGCAAAAATCCCACCAAATTTACTTGAGTGTCCATACTGACCTAAACATGTGAACTTAAAAGCAAAGTTATTGCATTCAGTGAGGATCAGTTTTGTTAGATATAAGTAAGCAACCTGCTTTTTTTCATCTGCAAAGAACTTTGCATACCTATGGAAAGGAATCCTAAGGAATCAAAGCCCCTCCTGTGAAATCAGTATGAAATCTATCTCCTAATTTGAACTGGTGGATAAATTTAAAATAGTGCAGGCGTGTTGAAGCAATCTAATTCGTTACTGCATTTCTTCAGAAGACAGAACTAGACAAGATTAATTTGCTGGGTTGATGGTTCCAAATTACTTGGGGTAAAAGGAACAAAACCTGTACTTGTCAAAAGACAGTTTGACAATCTATATTTCATAAGAGCCTAACAGAAATCACAGCCATGATTACTGTCTTCCTGGTACAATGAATTTTGAGTGAAACCTTGCCAGGACCACACTACACACTGCTTTACATGTCCAAACAGTTGCAAACTGTGACAATTTTGGAGCAAACAATCACCACTCCTCACTGGTGAGCCTTTTTAAATGCCCATTAAAGCATTTAACTTTTCTTTGGGCAAATTAATTTACTAATTCTGTAACATCCCATTATCAAATACTCTGAAAAGTTCTGGTTTAGCCTGCCACTACTTCATGTTTCTGGAGCAGTCTAGCAGCTTCAGTGCTAATAAAACAGTGTTGTAACAAAAGTCACAAACTCCACAGCTCCCCAGGCACATCAGGCTGAGACATTCTTCCTGATAACTGGCACTGTTTGCTCACTCCCGGTAACATTTTACATAGACTCAGCAGCTCAGGTGATGTCTTCTGCTCAAAAATGGGGCAGAACAAGGACAGTGACAGATCAAAACCTCTCCTCTTTGCTCCAGCAGCTCCTCCTCTCAGAGATAACAGAGGAATCGTGGCACAGGAATTGGGCAGTTGTTTCTAGTAAAAGTTCAGCAGTTACTTTGGACTTTCTTGCAAATAATTCTGATGTGATAACTTCCCCAGTTTAAAAATTACTTACACTGCCTAACTGTAAGCAAAGCATCCATCTTCAAAGACAAACCCAGCTATTTCTGGGTTTAAATTAAGAAGAAAAAAATCTTGTGTGAATTGAAGAAATTCTGTTTATCATAACTGCATACAGAAGCCTGAGACCATTCCTGATAGCAGAGATGAAATAACATATCAAAGAAAGAAAGCAAGAAAAGCTTTGATCAATAGGGAAATGGTTTTTATACACATCAGAACCAATTTAAAGAATTCTCTAGGATCAATTTAGATAGACAGAAATGCTTCTCAGCATTTATTACTTGTGGAGGGAATATTGATCCCATCCATTGATTTCTCCTGTGCATGTAGATCTGTGCATCTGGTTTTGTTGTGCGGGTTTTTTCCCGAAGAAAGATGACCCAAAGTGGAAGGTATCAAGAAACTACTTATACTATAAGGACTTACATTAATAGTTCAAACAATTACACAGAACTTTTAAACTCTGTTCAAAAATAGTCAGAATATAATTTAGCTTAATTTTGGCACATGATTGTTAGTCAATGGAGTATATTTTAAGATAAGTTGGTTTTTTTGAACCTTACTTACCAAAGGCTACCACTTCCTTACATTACACATTGCATCAAACATTTTCTCTCCCATTCCATTTTTAAAAGGAATGTCTCTTCATGGTAATGTTAAAAATTGTACAGCCCTAATGGATTATATTCTCTCTGAATTTAGGTCTTTTGTTATTATTGGAGTTGCAACTATTTGCATCTTCATCAGGATCCCTCAGCCTGGAGTCTCCTAGGAATTAGGAACCTCTTAAGTGAGGTGTGAAAGGTAAAAATATCCAGTCCCTCCCTTTAGTAATTTGGCTAACAGCGAATGTGCTTGCCTACCTAAAAGTAAATGGAATATTTATAAACTATGGCTGCAGATAAAATTCTTCATTACTGTCACACTAAGCAGAATATTATTTATCAGGCCACTGATTTCAACATATGATAGATGGTGGACAATTTTTTTGTTCTATAAACAGCTTTCAACAAATAAAACAACTATTTCTTGTACACTATATGTTTTACTTAGGAATGCACTTTTTAGACATTATTAAAAGTCCTCCATTCTCAAATGTGACTAAAACCTCCTAAATATTCTTGTGGAAATAATGATGACCCCCTTCCTCCCTTTGTCTTCACATTCTATTTAGATCTTTCATGGAACAGGTCATAGAAGAATAATCTTGAGCAGTTTGTAATTCACTTGCAGCAATTCACTAAATATTCTCAGTAATGAAGACCAAAAGGAAAGCTGGGAAAGAGAGAAGATGTCCAAGAATCTGCTGATACAGGTGTTTAATACACTGGTACCAAAATAAAATCCTTTTGTCACTCTCTCCAGAGACTTTTTTCTTTCTCCTTTCTCAGAAGTGTTTAAATAGACATAGATTTGGCAAAGCATATTAGGGAAAATTAGCTCATCTCAGAGTGCACTTAAGCTCGTGACTCACCATATGCATGTGAAGTCATTCAACTCAGTGCAATCACATTCTCAAATGAGGCAGGATCAGGGCACCACAAACAGAACCATTACTGCAATAAGGACTTACAGCACAAGGTCTTCAAGTGAGCAAACTCACTTCTTGTCTGGCTTTCAGCAGGACAGCACTCAGGCCTCCTAAACAGAAAGGCAGCTTTTTAGGGTGAGTAGGGCCATGTGGTGCAGGTGAGCTAGACCCAAGTATCATAAAAAAGAATAACAGAAAAGTCAATCCAGAGAATTTTCTCAGTCAAATTATTCAGTAAAAATTTACAAAGGTGGAAAGCGATTCCCCTGGAACACAGAAAAACCTCAAATTACCCAAGCAGTGTGTTAGTAGAAATTCAATTCACATCTTTAAAAATCTGCATGTAGAGAATTGGCCTGGCTGATAAATCAGTGTGGAGTGGGATGATGTGGCCCGATGCATTTCCCTCCAAAGATTAAAGGTGTAGGGTAATGTTTGGCTGAGGGAAAAAGGGGACTTCTCTAAACTTTTTACTCTGTGGAACTGTGACCTAGATGAAGCAGCATTATTCCTGGAGCTTAAACAGATCTCAGAACTTGACAAATCTTTTTCAAGCAAGAAATCACCAGAAAGTTACTCAGAGCAAAGAAAGCATTTATCTGATAGAAGAAAATCTTTTATATAAAAGAACTTAAAGCCTTTTTATAAGGCTTTCTAGACCCAGACCATTACTCTAAAGCTCCCTTTCAGCTGGACTTGAGCTTGTTTATATTACATTTTAGTTGGCCTTTTTGGTAGCATTTTGGATTTTGTAAGTAGCTTCAAAATAAAGCAAAAAGTATTAAAGCAGAAACTTTTGAAGCAGAGACTTCAAGATGTCAAAACCTTTCTGGATGTGCTAATGAGGCATGTTGAATATATTAAAAATAGTATCTTGAGAATAAAAGGAAAATACCTTCTTGTCTAGGACTGTTTTTTTTTTTTAATATGAAAATGTCTGTCAGAGCAGAATATTTTTATGCATATAATAGAAAGGCACTTGTCTAGCTTTCAGTGTTACCTAGAATACCTGTATGTGGGCACATGTGTAGGGCTGTGTTTCCAAGGGAATCTACCTTGAGGAAAAAAACGAGGAAGGACCAAGCCATCCTGGCAAAAATCTTCAGATTGCTACCAAGTGCGGGACCTCAGGCTCACCAAGCTGTTCTGAAATCAAAAATCCGAAAAGGCAGCATTTGGTTTTTAAGTCACCACTAAAGGGTAGGTGTTGAGTGACACTGCATCCACGGGGAGCTGCAGTAACAGGCTGGCTGAGAAACTCCTGAGAAGGTGACACCAGACTGGTGCTGCTGCAGTTGTGCTTGTGCTGCTCAGGACAACAACGTGACAAAAATGTCACATTTTAAGAAAGTAACAGAGGAAAAAAGGAAGATCACTACCATCTGATGCTCTTCAAAAAGGAATAAATCACCATAAAATTATCTGCAGGAGTTGCCAAGCTGAACCTCTGTTTGCAAAGAAACTTTTTATGTGATGGCAAATGCTCCAGAGCATGGTTATGGTTCACATTCAGATCTTGTTCTGAGGAACAAGCTCTTCTCTTTTGTTAAACTTATATGTTGGAAGCAGCATGCCAAATACTGTACTGCAAGTAACACTATCTCCAGAACACATTATCTGTTTTCTTAGTGCTTCAAGAGTTGCACTTATATTAACTAAAATCTCTCACTAAGAAAACTAATACTGATGGGCTAACTGAGAAAAAATTAAGTCACAGCAAAATTTCTGTTACCACAAATTGAAAATTATTCTAGTTTCTGCTACAAGTGAGGTCTCTGAATACAGATTTGGATGCACAAAACCATGCTTTCCTCTAAATTTTTACTTGCTGCAGCTGTATGTGTTTTAGGCATTGGTATGTCTCACTTTTAAGAATTCAGTGAAGTTGAGCTGGGTATAAAGAGATTAAAAATTCCAGGTGTGTAGAACATAGCTCCGAATAATGGGAACACCAGTTTAAAAGCATCCAGAGAATAGAAGATAACCTTTGTATTCAGGCTCTGCTCCTTCTCCTTTCCCTACTTTGAGATGCCTGGAGCCTTTCAGTTAAAGCCTCCCTGATCCTCCTTCCCTTCTCAAGCGATACGATGGATATGCTTGTGTTACAGAAGATGAGACTGGGATATGAACACTGATTTATTTTTCCCTTGGACAACATATGCATAATCCTTTCCATTAACTCAAAGGGAATGACCAGATGTGTAATTGCTTCCTGACACAGAGTGGGATTCATCTCATCTGACCTTGCCATCCCACAGCGGGTTCAGTTCATCCAGGCTCTTTCTGCACCTACCAGGGAGGAAAACTCCCTTTCCCAGGAGCTCCTCTGCCTCCCTGGGACAGCAGGTGGCTGTGTCTGTGTGATGACTACAGAAGGACCTCCACAGCTCCTCCTCATAGAGCTCAGGCAGGGTGACACTAAATCCCATGCAGGAGTTCCAAACAGGCACCTCAAAGACATTTTAAAAGAGAATTCCCTAACTTGCACTGCTGGCAGATGTGTAAACCAAAGCATCAGCAAATGCACATAGGCACCTGTATCCATCCAGGGCTTTAAAAACCATTGAAAGCCAGACTTCTATAGGCAATGACCTCTATTAGACCCAGGTCTTAATCATTTGGTGCAACTCCCATGCTGTGGCAACAATCCATAATTTCAGTAGCATTTGATAGCAAAGCAGATCATGTGCATTGTCAACATTTTGTAACCCTATTAACTCTGAGATAATGGACTTGTATCTGCTATATTTCTAAGCATATTAGAATGGGGTGTAATTAGCACTTCCTTTTTTTTATACAAATCTCTCAGCCCTCAGAGCCAGTTCTTACACTATAGCTAATAACCCTGCAGGTGATCAAAGCCTGAAATGGAGGTGGGACACAGACCTAGAAGCCAAACTTCAGTTTACTTCCAGAGTATAAGTAAGAGCCATGAAAACTGCTTCAGAGAAAAAGCACTTTTAAGGGAAGGTAATATTTAATTTGATTTGCATCAAAATGTTCTGCTTAAGTGTTTTACCTCTGAATATGCTCCTTAAAGAGAGGTTCAGTGTCCTTATGGGTGCAGACCAGAGCAGCTCTGGCTAAACACAGTGGATTCCTAAAGCTTTTTGCACTCATCATTCTTTCCCAGCAAATAAACAGGAAGCACTTCTGTTTTGTCTTTAAAGCTAGCTTCTTGTTATCATTATTATTTCAAGCTTAGAGGATGATCTAATGTATGTGGATTCTGGTTTCTGTCAAACCAAGTCCTTTGTCACACGATGCTTCTGGGACATGGAGGCTCATGTGGGGAGGGTTAAAGCCCTGCTGAGGTGGCTGGGAAAGCCAGCCTTGGCTTGTGCCTCCAGCTTAGCCTGAGGTTCCCCTCCTGACTGTGCAGTGTCTGTTGTAGCTGTGTGGGCATCTTCTCTGCTGGCTGCAAAGAGATGAGTGGCATAAGATGTGCTATGTGCATCCACACTCTCCGTTCACTCCATGGCTAGCTTGACCAAATCATTTAATTTTTAGGTGGTCAAATAGATGGGGCTCAATGCTACCCTTAATCTCAAACTTCAGCTCTTCCAACCCAAGTCGGGTTTTTCTTGTCTTTTTGTAAAACTTGCAAGAGAAAAAAAAATTGGAGATTTAAAATCCTAATCAGTGCAGCCTTCAGATGTTGCCTACACTATCATGATGATACAAGTGGAGCAGTGTTGCAGAGTAGCTTTTATCCTTCTTCCACATTACAACTAAATAGTATTTCACCATGGTAGTAAAACTAGACAGACAGACACACAGGAAGACTCTGAAAACAAAACAAAAACCCCAAAGTAGAAAACTGGGCTTAAGAATATCTTCTCCAAGTACAAGCTCCAAGAGACTCCCTTTAACTTAAGCATGTTATTGTCAACAGAGGCATCTTTGTTCAGCTGTTCCCTTAAAAACATTCCTATTACTGTCATTCCTGGTGTTGTCATATTCACTACCTTGACAGCACAAACACTGTGCTGTAAAATCTGTCAGAGAGGCCAGCTGATTTCCTACATCTTCTGACACTTGCAGGTCTTTAATATCAAACTGTCAGAACACCTGAGAGAGAGGTGGGTGTTCAGGGCTGTTATTGTGACTACCATCACACACACTTTAATCATTAGCCTTACACCACTGTGAAATCCTGACTTTTATGCCCTCGGAGTTCCATGCCAGAAAATGCTGCTGGCATAAACCTATCATAGAGGTTAGCTGGCTCACTAACCCATGGAGTTCTGTACGTAAAATGAATCCTTTATGTCTTTATAGTGTTTTCTTAAACTTTCTTCTGTGACTTTTTTTTTTCCCAGAGGGAAGCTGTAGTAGGAGTAACAATTACTCAGTGACAGGCGTAGGTGAAAGTCATCTGCTTAAAATAAACCCCTCTGTGCCAGGACCCTTTTATCTTTGGGTGTAGTCATGAAGCAGATGAGCTTGGTGGGCAGTGAGTTTTCTGTAATGCAAAACTCCTTAGATTCAATATTAAAATGAAACTGAGAGAAGCAGAACAAGAGTAAATCAGACTAGAACAGTCCCTGATCTTTAACTGTTTATGGCACTACCTTTACAGGGATGAGAGCATCTGTAATCCTGCTCCTGCTTGGCTGTTGTCCCCCAAGCGACAGTGAACTAAGTGTTCCTGGGCAAATAATTATCCTGGGATACTTGGATACAGAGCAAAATAAATGAGGAGCTGTTAAAGATTTTATAGCCTCCCAGATCAGGGTGCTGCTGAGATGGAGCTGTTTGTGCTGCTACCAACAGCCCAGCTGATCTCATGGAGCGACACAGTGCCACAGAAGCCACATGGGCAATGG